CTTTTCTAATTTGCTATCAAAGCTATAGAACTATTAAAAAAGTATTTTTTTTGATTCTTTTTTTATTAATATTGGCAATCATTTTCTTGTAATGAATGATTTATTTGTTCTTTACTTATTGAAAAAGACAATGAATGTGTTCGTTCTGCATTTCAATACTCTTTCTTTTTTTTTGGATTCCACGACATTAAGTTAATGTATTCCATTTACATCACCTTTCTATAATATAGTATGTATAATGCTTAAATAGTCTCTCAATTCATTGGTAACAGAACAGTTTCGAATGGTCATTTCTCAAAATTAATTTTAAATATAATGATTGTTTCACAGTGAGATCTTTGATCTTTCGTAATTTTTGATTTTTTTTTTATGAAAATTTGATTTTTATGAAAATTCTGAGATTACATTTCGAGATTTAATTCCTCTTTGCTATCTTTGTGAATCATGAGTTAGATGTAAAATGATCAAGTTGAGAAGTGAAAAAATTGAAGTGATACAATGGTAAAGACTTCATCATTCAAAGAGGAAGAAATTTCTATTTATTTTTTCAATTTATTTCATATCCATAGCTTTCTATTTTGGTCAGGTCATTTCCATTTGACATATAGCATAATTATCATTGTCAACTGATACTAGTCATTTCACTAATAAGTTAAAAAATTTGAATTGTTTGCAATGTATGCTTTCTAACACTTTTTGCAAATTGGTAATTACGTCTGTATATGGTTGAATATGTTTGGAAAGTTTAGGAAGACTTGTCGAATCAAAGTTTAAATATCAGTAGACTAATGAAATAGAATTTCAAAATGTGTATCATATTTTAATGTTGTATTTTTTACCCACAATTAAATAACCCAAAGCAAAGCTGAGCCTAGCCAGAGTTGAACCAAAAATTGAAGCAATTTGGAAGCGTCTTAGGAATAACTATTGCACATGAAAGTATTTTATCTAATAAGAACTTTTCCTGACGATAATCCACTCTATAGTGTGCCGTTCATGAGTGAGGATAAATGGGCCATTAATGATGAGAATAACTTTTATCAGTAATCGGTAATATGGAAAGTGCACGAGGGATGTTTTGTTGTCCCATCTCTTTCTTGGACTGCTTCTCTTTCCTATTTCATTCATGAATTCTTTCAAAATATATTACTCATCATTCTTGCTTTTGTCATTATCGTTTAAATGCATCTCTTTTCCTTCCTTCTCAAAGCCTCCCTCTCAAACATCTGTTTCACTTTTTCTCTACTTTTTTTTTTTATTTCTTTTTGGAATATTATATTCCTATTTTCACTTTAATTTACCTACATAACTTTCGAACTTCCATTGAATTTTCGTCAAGAATTATTTTAAATTATTTTCCATTGTTGAAATATTCGAATATTTTCTATGAACTTTTAAATTTTTCATTCAAAACTTTTTTGTTCATTATTTACTTAATGATGAAACTTTCTTTTTGTAATATTGTAAAATCAAACGGTATGAATATAGCCTACAAAATAATGATAACTTTAGATTTTACTCAGTTGCTACCATTTGAATTAAATAATAAAACGAATTTTTGTTCAACTGATAGTCAGATGATTAACAATGTAACTTCATTGAAGTTCTTTTGGAACCCTTTGTAGTTTATGCAAATTGCAAGATTTTTGAGGTAAATGTATACTTATTTCAATACAAATATATTTGTGATTATATTATTTCTCCAACGGATTCTTTGTCGTTATCAGATTAATGTGTGATCTCTGACGAAAACATTTGGTATTACCCCTTTCTTTGCTACCTGTATTATTTTCAGCATCAAAATTGATCTTTTAAATGATGTGACAGAAAAGTGACATTTAGTGTAATGAACAATTTCTATCGACAAATATCGGCGGGCATTTTCAGAACTTCCTCACTTTCTATCATTTTTCAAATCAAGTTTTCTCAGAAATATTGCATTTCCGTTTAGTTTATTTGCTTTGTTTTGTCCCGTTGTTTTATTTTTTAATTAATATTAACAGAAATTCGTTTTGTCTACCTGATTAATTACGGTTTCGACTGATGTGTCTGTACAGGGTTGAGTTGTGCAAAATTCATCTCTCAATCTTTTAATGCTATATTTCTAATTCAATTTGTTTCTTTGAATTTCATTGATATATAACCTTTAGATTGTGTTTTTTCTTTTTCTTTAATACATATATAACCTTTAGATTACCTTGTTTGTATATGAAAACTATGTCTTCAACATAGTTTTTGTTAATTAATAGTTACAACTGTATTTTTTGCTGAATCTATTGTCCGTAGATCAATGATTGGGTTTTAGAATGATGTGATTCTGAATCAAAGAATTTAGAGGTTCAAAGAGGAATAATACCTGTTTAGATAAGGAAAAAGTCAGAAAATTAGTCTTGATTGCAAAGTTTATAAGATAGTTTGGTAATTTATAATTGATGAAAGGTATTTTGAGATTCATGAATACATTACACTACCTACCTATTTGTTAACCTTTTGTTCTTCAAATATATGTTAGGCTTATTTCGTCAAAAGTAATTGATCGATAAATGGACATGTCATTAGAGAGATGTTTATGTTAGAGTAACAAAGGCAGATTGCTCTCTTTTCCGCTTCTGCATCTCTTAGCTTCTAATCAGACCGCTTATCTATTTTTATTTTAATATAAACCTGTGCTGGAAGCATTCTTGACTTTAAATTTTCATTTTCATCCTCTACCATGTTATTTAAGAGTATAATAAAATACGTCTCAACCACTTATATCTTTATTTGTTACTGCATAAATTTCATTTCATTACAAAAATTTATTATTTATTCAATTTCTAAGGTATGGGGAGAAAATTAGTTTTCTTTGATTTTCGATTTCTTTTTTTTTTCTCGTTTTAATTTAAGCTAGTATGATTATGCTCCTGTCAACTGATCATTTGATAGACATCGCTTTCCCATTTATAATTTGTTGACATATAGGTTAAAAGGTGCACTATAGTACAAGCGGCAATTAAATGGGCCATCATATGACAGTAATTACACATGTATATGCATTCAACTGCGAGGAAGTGTTATATTATTTATGCCAGTATCGCTCATCTTCAGCAGTTCAATTTTCTTCATTATCTTATATGATTCATCAAAAGATATCTTTCTGGTCAAGAAATCTCGATTCATTTCTTAGATATATTTTCACTCAAATAGTCTTCTTTCTCCTTTTTACTCTTCCTATTTAGGGAGTTGTTTACTTTATTTACTCCATTATACTTTATTTCATTTCACCAATTTTATTTCATGTTTCTTTTCTGCTGCTTTCTTTACAAAATCATTCATTTTATTATTTATACCCTAAATTTGAGAAAATATTTTAGGTATCCATATCATGAATATAGCCATCGATTTTTTGATTTCTTTTATCTCTTTACTCATAGACATTAACAACTATGAATGATATTATAGTTCACGAATCTATCATTGCACTGTTCAGTGTAATTTTGACATTAATTCTTATTATTTTCAGCAGATGATTCAACTAGATTCTTTTGACAAATATTTTATAATCGCCGTTTTATTTTATAAATCATGCTTCAATTTTCGATTTTTCTTTCTTTCTTTTTTTTTTTTTTGTAAGAATTATTGGAT